TCCCCCTCTCCGCTCCTCTCCTTGTTGTTTTGTCTTTCATAAAGAAAAAAAATGAAAATTGAAAAAATATTAAATCGGTAGTTTAAGATTATACCTTAAGAAACTAGAAAAAGAAATGTAAATTCATACTAAAGTAATCTGAAGAAAAAATTTTTGAAAGAGCAGGAATCATTGAAATAGAGAATCAAAAATTAAGAGAGAACATCAACAAAACTGAAAGCTAGTTCTACGAACAGCTAGAAGAAAAGCTCAGTGTATCTGATTCACACTCTGATGAAAGTACAGCCCTCATGCCCCTCAGCTGTTCATGTCCTGGGAGAGCGTGGGGGGGGTGCCCGTGTTCTGAGACGCTCATGAAAATGACTAGATTTCTTTCTAGAAACATACTGATTTAGAGACTATTACCCTACAATGTGCAATGTGATAGAAGAAAATACTCAGCATTTTAAAATACTGTGTAGACATCATGCTATGTTTATTTACAATACATATTCTCAAATTTAGCAACATAATTTTAATTGTTTTTATCCCATAGAGGTTGTTGGTAGTACTTTAACTTTCTGAGCAACAAGAAGGCATCACCAACAAAATTCCACTGAAAATTTGGCAGTTGCATGTATACTACAATGATTTTTTAGTTAGGGCTAACTGAAGATGTTTTGCTAAAATGAATAGCTGGTCAAAAACCTAAAGTGCCCTACCTATTTTTAAAATAGCAAGTAGCCAAAAAGAAACATTCAACAGACTTCTATTAATAAATATTCATATTCTGAGAAACACCACATGTGCTATCTAGTAATCATATACTTAAAAATTGAATCATGTCAAAGTAATATATAATCACTTTGTGGAAAATATTTCTCCTGATATGCTTCTGTTGATATGTTTCACAACAAAGAATCCTGGTTTCCCACCCCACCACCTTTCCCCACAAACACGAGCCCTCTTACTGCAAAGATACCTGGAAAGACATACAGACTTACTAACTATCTGTGAAATCAAAGGGAGACAACAATCAGAACAATTAAAGAAGCATATGGAGAAAAGCAAGGAAAGGACATTTCTAGACTTCATCAATAAGGATACACATAAGTGCTAACGTGATTTCATTTGTCTCTTTCAGGGACCATAAATTCTTGGGTAGTTATTTTTATTCTACCTATCAACAGTGCTTTGAATCCAATTCTCTACACTCTGACCACTAGACCCTTCAAAGAAATGATGCATCAAGTTTGGTACAACTACAGACAAAAAAGGTCTGTTGGCAGCAAAAATGTTGAGAAAAGATATCCTCCATCGTTCATGTGGGTGGAGATGTGGCGGTCAAGTGAGGATCCATCTACATTAATGAAGCCAACTCTTTTCACAGACCCCTGTGAAATGTCATTAATTTCATGATCGAATAGACTCAATTACTCTTCATAGGAAAACCGACTCTTCACAGAACTGCTCTAGGGTGTTTTTATCATGGATTTACTGGTATATAAT